AGACAACTACTTCACATACAAAGGTAGTCCTTTATCCTGCTCAGCAGATACCTGAAATGTCTGCAGTTAATCATGCTGAAGGGAGCCACAGGCAAAGTTTAGCTCAAAGCCAGAGGCTGCCTCAAACCACCACATTTGATTGCTTAAGATAATCATGTTCTTGCTTAGAGTATTTGTATATCTCTGATTAACTCACAGGGAAGGGAGAACACACATTTACTGGTGCTCTACCACACAAGTAATGTGCACATGAAATACAACGACAACATGTAGGAATAACTAAACTAGAAAATAATAGATATGAAAATACTAAATATTCATGTGCTCCTAATAAAAGAATAAATCTTTCATGAAATATAGCTGAAAAACAGTTTGGGTTCTACAGCAGTTAAAAGAGAAGCTTCCAGCATAACAAAGTCTCTGGAAAAAAACAGCATGGCACTTGTTTCTGGTTCTCTATAGATTGAGTTCCAACCTAACATGTATCTGAAATGATGGATGGGGGCAATCATTTGGATATTTATCATAAAATAGAGAGATAATGATTCCAAGTTTCCCAGTTTTACTCAAGAAGATACGTTGCATGAACTGACATCAGCTCTTGCTGTCCAGAAAGTCAAGCGCCTAGGAAACCCCCAGCAGTCAGTTCATCTATAGGAGACTATTCTTTAGTCAGTCTTGAAGTCAGACCACTTGATTGACTCTATACCCTAGTCTGAAAAGACTTTGATAATTGGGTAACTCCATACATCTCGGGAAATGTAAGGATTTTTTTTCACAAAGTTATTTTAATGAGCTGGACTCTCTTGCAAAGATGAAATTGCAGCATGAGATGCCATCGTTAAATGTAATCCTAGTGACAGGGTGCAGGTGCCACAGTATAGGATATTGTATCCATGAAGAAAGACTTTTCTGATTCAAACCTAAGATATGGCCAAATGAGACTAGATGAAGAAATGCATAAGGAAATCAAGGTATCTGGATTTATAACATGTTTTTCCATCTAATAAAGCCTTCCCTTGACTAACTGATTAAAACACTATAACAACAATTCGATACATCAAAAGTGGGTTTTGTATGTCAGTTCACATAACTCAAGAATAAAGTGCTTCAGAACACTGGCTGAGGTACCACAGTGCAGCTCTTAGGGAAGGTGGGTTGAAATGACTGAAGCCAGTATCTTTCTTTGGAAGTACAGCATTAAGAAGACCCACATTCCATGAGCTCTTAGCTTTACATTTTATGGTCATGCTGTCCTGGGAATATAAATCATGCCTGACTTTTCCTGGGTTCCATTGAGGAGATTCACTTAGTATGTAACAACTTCGAGGGGTCACCAGCTCCCCCGTAGACACCAGTGGATTTGAGTTCACCAGGCAACAGCATCTGTTAACATTAAACTGTGTTAATTATCATTTAAGGTATTATCCTGATTTTTTTAATGGTAAACATTAGATCAAGAAAACTATTTTAAAATTTAGTTCACAAAATCATTCATTATATTTTTTAACTCTATTTACACAGTCTTAGAAGCATCTTTTAAAAAGTATAGTTAGGATTAGGATCCACCAAGAAAAATTATGATATATATGTATGTGTGTGGATATATATATATGTGTGTGGATATATATATATATATATATATATATATATATGCACAAAGAGGAAAAATATAAAGGAAAAATTATCTGAATTGCACATATAGGTTCTGAATGATTACAAAGAAAATTCTCATGGAACTTTTATAATACTATCTCAATAATGTCTTTTCCTAATTCTAATGAAAGACCATGGTTTTCATTTTTGGTAAATCATTGAAGTTTTCATTTGTTGCTCTTAAAACAGGTCCAGATGTGTTTGTATGCAGTTGTTAAGAGAGTTTAGACACTTTTCCCTTTCTGCTAAAGCTTGCCAATTGAAAAACAAATTAGCATACTAAATTAGAATAATGTCTTGAATATAGCAACTTAATACCTACATCTGATTATGAGGGCAATTCTTGCTGAACATGTGGGCTAACAGGTTTTAAGACTAAGATTGTAGAAGGTTAAAAGTGTTAAAGCTTTCAAATTGCCTTTGGAGTCATTGGGAACTTTACGAAAAGCAGTTAAGCTGGTCTTTAATCCCAGAGCTAGGGAGGCAGAACTGTTGATCTCTCTAAATTCTAGGCCAGCCTGGTCTACATAGTGAGACTCTGTCTCAGAAAAAGAAAACATTAAAGGACTAGATTTAATTTTTAATCATCTGGTTAGTTCTGTTTAAGATGGAAACATATTTTCCTTTGTGTGATTTTTTTAAAAAAGTATTATTGAAGTAGCTTTTAATCTCACATTTTCCCTCCAAAAGTACATTAAAATTAACCCAACTGTAATCTTATAAATAACATTATGTCTATGGCTGGTGAGAAACTATCTTTAAAAATACAGCTAACTCATGTTCTCTCCCAAAGAACTAGCTGAAAGGTTGAATATCAAAACTTGCTTTGTAAGTGTCAGAGATAAATATGTTTTTTGCAAGGAGTGTTTTCAGCATTTGAAATATTCTTAGAATGGTCTCCCGCTGATAAGATAAGTGCTGACAAGATAGGTCATGAAGCAGGAGCCCAGGACAGAAGGAACAGTAAACATAAGCCTTACTGTTCTCTTGTTTTGAAAAGCACGGATTCTTGTTAGAAAGAAATCTAGATCCCTAAAACGAGTCTAACACTGACATTGTGTATCTTAGCTATTTTATAACTTGATTTCTGAGTTCAATTGCTGATTAGATTTTTTAAAATTTAAATAAGTAAAGATGTGTCAAAATTAGATAATTAAAAATCTATTAGAAAACAGTTTATATTCTCTTTGTGTGTATGTGTGTGTGATGTGTGTGTGTGTGTGTGTGTGCGCACGCGCACATGTATGTTTGAGTGGATACATATGTGGAAGCGTGCACATACATGTATCGCATGCCTGTGGAGGCTAACAGTCAACCTTGCATGCTATTTCTTGTGCGCTATCCATTTTATTTTATTAAGATAGTGTCTCTCATTGGCCTAGAGCTTACACCACTGAAGTTATATCTGGTTAGCCAGCAAACCCTAGGAGTACACCTGTCTCTGTTTCCCCAGTGCTGGGATTCTAAGTAGGGTTCTGAGAATGAAACTTGGGTCTTTATGTTGCGTGCCAAGCATTTTACCAGCTGGGCTATGGGATCTCTATCTTCTTAAAGTGAATATTCAGATTAATATTTTAAGATTGTGTCCCATATTTATTGAAAACACATCAATTTCATGTTACAACAATGAAACCATATGTAATTAATAACTATACTATTTCATAAAAATACTACTAACTGACAGCTATTCATCTGAGATTTTCAGGAGCTTGGAAAGATGCCAATCAAGACTGTCAGTTGCATAAATAACATTGGATGAAAAAACAGAATATATTAGAAATACATAAATACATACCCTTATAGGAGAGGCCAGAAAGGGAACTAACTTATCATGTTACTTAACACCCCTGAGTTCTTGGAGAAAGCTAGAGAAACATGTAAGAAACCACAGACTAAACACCTTAACCCCAGGAGTAGGAAATTCACTGGAAACTTTAAGAAGTGCAGACAAGGGGACACCTGGATAGCCATGTAATTAAGGACCTCAGCATGAGGCATGAAAGAGATGAGAAATTATTCCCAGATTTAATTGTGAAGCCTGACCATCAAAATGCAAAAGACATTCTATCTTGATTTTGAAATGTGGATTTTAATATAGAATACAGAATTGGGACAAAACCAGACAACACATTCCAGCTAAATCCTCAAAGTGAAGTTGCCCAAACAAAAAGCTAAATTGAAGAGAGGTACCTCTTCAGACACTGTTGGAATTTTCAGTGTAGTCATCGTGCCCAGAACACTAAGAATGATTAATAAAATGAAGGAAAGATCTAAGTTAAAATCACTGGCATTCATCAATACAGTAGAACATTAGAGGAACTATGAGTTTATGTCACTGGTGCTTTGGGAGTGCAAGAAGGCACTCAGTAAAGGTGCTCAGCCTCAGTAAAGGTGCTGAGAAGCCTCCAAAGACACTGGCTCAGTTGTAGTGGGCTAGATTCCAGCAGATTAAAACATACAACAAACAAGAGAAGAATTCTATGGTTGGCTAAGCATAGCTCTGGGATGAATGTTCTGCAGGTTAATCTAGACAACCAGTGCCTTATTCTAGCACTTTCTACAATTCACACACTTAGGTTTCTATTCAGAAATAGAAGGCATTCTCCCTACCTATAAGAAAGAGCTGTTAGTTGATTTAATCATTAAGTGTCTAAAGGAACAACATAAATCAGACCATCACCTTCCCTTTGCAGACCCTGTAATGAACTGCACATTTTTATATTGCCACTAGAAAAATAAATAAATAAAAATAATGACTTGACTTCTCCAAAATAGGTTACAATTATTCAGAACCTTTTTTTTTCCTGTCTGGATTGTAAATTCCTTGAAGACAGGCCACTGTTCATTTCTCAGTCTGTTTACCTTAGCATCCAAAGACAGTGCAGCTAGAACTTGCTAAGAAAAAATTAATACCAGGCTTTTCCCAGATTCTTCTCAGAATTGACCCAACCAGTCCTAATGAGGAAATAAAAGTAATCTTCTCTCCGTGACCCTATTACATAATAAAACACAAAGCAGAAAGTGGCTTTTAGCAGTGAAAACAGCCATCTATGTATGTATGCTGCCTTGGAAACCAGGAAGTTTTAGCTTGGTGGCATTAGGGCAAATGGAAGAAGGCAGGGCTGAGGAGGGTGGGTAAGTGTATTCTGCTCATATGCCATACCAGAGAATTCTGTGACCACCACCTGGCCATCCCCTTGGACAACAACTGTGTACCGCATCATCCTCGAATAACAAACACACTGGCACTGTTGATAAGACAGTCGTGCATTTACAACACCTTAAATTCCATTTTCAATGAGAAGCACATTGGGTAATCAGATGAGGTAATAAAACACACTGACCTGGATCTGTTGCTGCAGGAGATTAATCTTGTGCTGCTGCTGGAGAAGTTGCTGCTGTTGTCTTGCGATCTATCAGAAATAAAGTTCCATTAGGTTAAAATGAAATGCTTTGCAGCTTTGCCATTACCCCCGCGTCTCTCCTACTACTGTACAAACGCTTTGCTGCTCCTCCATATGAAAGACTCCCTTTGGATGGAGGCAGTGCGACCAGAGAGGAAAGGAGGAGATTCTGAGCCAATGGGGTGCTCCTACTTTACTCAAAGGTGCAAACTACAGTTTTGTGCTCTAACTGAGAGCAAGCTCCTCAGTTTACATCGACTGGTTGGAAACCACAGAACTTTGGAAACTAGATCCTTCCAGAATAAAACAGGAGAACCCTGACCGCTTTTGTCCAGAGGTTAGCCTTGCTGGGAAAAGTAAAGTCTGCAACAATGGGCTTCCTAATGCGCCACCTGTCTACTTATGTCATTTGACATGGTACACTAACAAATATTCTCAGAGGGACATAAAAACATAGTAAACAATAAAACAAAAAATAGCTTTTTGGATGGCATTCTCTCACCTACAAAGCATTTTTAGGACAGAGATGCACGTGTTCTATTATACAGGATTTGCATGCACTTGTTCTATTATACAGGATTTGCATACAGGTATTATAGTTCCTTGCTTTACACAGCAACCAAACTCAGCATCTGGAAAAGTTATCTGGTCTATAAAAAGAAATACTAGTCATGAAATTCAAACCTTACTGGAGATCACATCTGCCCCTTAGGATGGCAAAAGACTTCCATAAGAAGGCAGAGCTTGCTGCCTAACTAACCAGGTGCTCCCTGTCTGCCCACTCACTGCCCACCTTACAACTGACCATAGCCTTAGGCTCTAAACAGGATTCTTCCAGAGCATGAACTGTGAAACAAGGATACATGGAGAGCCCAAGAGCATAGCACCCAGGAGGACATAATTCCACAGTGCTTGTGGTTAAGAGTTTCTCCTCCTACCTATTTCCAAAAGCCAGGATTCTAGACCAAGCTGTGTTGGATGTGAAAATAAGTGTGGATGGCTCCAGTGCCCACCTGTATACATCCTCCTGTCACACTCCCTCACCTAGAACCCAGGAAATACCCAAGCATGTCATCCAGCGTATGACAACACAGAGGGAGACTTCCTGATGCTGCTCCATGGTCTGATGACAGCTGCCTCAAACTGGAAATATAATGCTGGGGCCTCTAAGTGACTCCAGTTTGAGAACTGGGATTTCTCTTCCCTAGAGCTTACGGTCCAACGAAAACAGTATTTAACCAGGTTAGGATGGGCTTGCTAACACTCAAATCCGAAACGGACCACTCACTCTGTAGCTCTAGATATGGACACTGGAACCCTTGACTATTTATTTCCTCTTAGCAAGCTAGTGAAACACCACCAGGCATCTAATATTGATGGTCCCTCGTAAATGATGAAGTGCTGTCTAGAAATGCATCGGAAACACCACAGCGCAATTACCATCATCCACTCTCCACACATGGGTTTGACACAGTGAAGTATGGTACATAAGCACCATGTGGCTCAAACTCGGAATTTTATTTGCCAATCGGTTGAGCTACATGCTCGCTTCATTGAGCATGACAACCTAGTTTTAAGTGTCATTTAATTTTCATTTTGAAATATAATTACAAAGTGTTCACTGTAAGATATCACTCGTCTGCAAATGTGTCAAGATTAATTTGTGCTAGCTTATTCACAAGTGTCAATAGTTAATTACTGTGTCATCTCTGGATGGCTAAATGACATTCTAACTTCTGATTTTTTACAGTGTTCCTTTATGTTATTTTCCATTAGGGGCTGAGTCCATATTCCTACATGTGGGCAAATACTCAAGCATATAAAATACCAGACGTCACAACTCATTAAAATCAACAGAGCATATACTGCTCTATATATCCCTGTAAAATACATTTAACTGAAAAGATAATTCCAGTAATAATGTCAGATTTCTAAAAACTGCACATTAATTTGGGTCTATCTGATCTAGGGCATGAGAGACTATGCTATAGGATCATTGTTATATTAATGCACTCTGGGAGACAAGAAAATCATTTGTAAAAGTAGTTCATTTTCTAAAAGACATACATTTAAACTCTGATACCTTTTCTTCATACTCATTTCTGACTCAATCATGTCCTTTAAGGAGCCATGAACTGATTTGCTTTCAGTGACTTATCTGCAATCTAGAAAGTGACTAACTCACCACCCAAACCAATCCGAACTTCATGGAGGAGGGACAGAGTAGTTATAATTACCTTGAACAGTAAGCATAAGCCAGACAGGGATATCTGGCGGGAATGAGCTGTATGGGGCGGGGGAGGAATCACTGGGCAAGTGAGCTAAAAAGTCCCACGTTTCTCCAGAAGATAATTCCTTCTTTTCTAGAGAGAAAAGTGGGGCCCGGAGAGAACCTGCAGCAGCACTGGGATTAGCTGGGCACCTCTGTAGATTCCTTTACCTAAGTAATTCAAGTCACACACTTTCCAAAAGTCATGTCTGCTTAGCTAGGATGTTCCCTTAGCTCCGATGCATTTGCCCTCAGTTTTCTTAAAGACTTGATTTCTAGAAGTCTCCCTCCTCCTTTCCTGCCTCCTCCCTTCTTTCTTTTCCTTTTCTTCTTTTAAATTTTCCTGGTTTTATATTCTGAAGAAGCCTACAACAAAAAGACCAATCAGTGTGATTGCTCGGGGAGTTTGGCGCCCACCCCACCTCATCTCCAGCTCCCTGGCTCCTTTTGCCAGCCTCACCTGTTCTTGTTGTTGGCGAGCAAGGTCCATTTGCTGCCGCTGTTTCTCGATCTGTGAGGCTGCCAGCTTTTTCTGTTCATCGTGCGCTGCCAGGAGCTGCTCCCGCAAGCTGATCAGCTGGGTGATCATGGTGGAGAGCTGGCGTTCCTTCTCTGCTAGGCTCTCAGGTGTACCTAAATGAAAATGAGAAGAAATCTCACAAGCTTGAGGAATGTCTGAAGGAATCAGAGAAAGAAGAGCAGAGTTTCGAAGGAGAACCCCTTAGACAAGGGTCTGGGACAGTCACTAAGAGTCACTGTGAGCGCATGTGTGCTGTGATGTAGTTAGTGTTGTCCATGCTTAGAACCATATTGTCACCTAGACTCTCCCTCCCCCTCTAAAACCAAAACCAAAGCAGAACAATCTACCCATCTACTCCTTCTTATGACACACCCATCTTTTGAGCAAACCAAGAAATCTGAGGTTCTATAGGTATTTAATGGTGAGTGTGAGGGAGATTTTCTTCAGTGGTGTAGCTACGAATAAGGAGCCCCAACTCCTGAAAATGACCCTTTACCCATGTTCTGAAAATGACCCTTTACCCATGTTCTGGAAGTAGCCCTAGATAAAGTCATTGGGTTACCAAAAAATAATCAAAGATAAATTTGAAAAAAAAAACAACAACAACAAAAGACAAGAAAACACGGGTGTGGGGGAGACTAGCTGAGAAGGGGAAGGACATGAACTCCAGCAGAAGGGTACAGCAGAGTGTAATGAGAGGCAAGTATCAACAAAATACATCACACACGTGTAAAATTGGTGTGACAATCACCCTACTATGTGTAACTAATATGTGCTAAATAACACGTTTAAAAAGAAAACAAAGTTCTATAATTATGACTAAAATTCAAAAACTTTAATATCTTAATGTTCTATAACTTCCCTCTCCTCAATGACTCAGTATCAATAGCGAGGAAGGATATAGCAGGTGCTTACTAAACAGTATCTAAGGAGTTTCCTCATCACTGTCCTCAGAGGCTTTCTATTGTCAAATGGTCTGTCTGAACAGAGGTAGGGGGTCACTCTCTTGGCCATAGAATACGTTTTCAAGAGAATCAAAGCTGCTTTAGGTAAGAAAGTATTAAGGTTTTGTTGTTTGTTTGTTTGGTTGGGTTGGGTTTGTTTTTGACTAGGGATCAATCTAAGGTTTCCACATTAGTCCTCAAAGGCAAAAATGTTGCTTGGGGGCCCCCTCGCCCTTTTGCCATTTGTCACTCGTCGAAGGAAGAAAACAAGCTCAGAGGCTGGAAAGGTTATGCATAAGGATGTGCAGTTTAATGAACGCAAAGATGCTGAGCACTTACGGTATGCGTTAATGGCACTGCACAGTCTTTTATGGACAAATTGCACAGCTCTCCTAAGTAAGGGGGACAGGATCCTTTTGTGAATCTAAATTAGAGCATTTTACCGCAGCGTAGGATAAGGATCGCAGGCACTGTGTTGGAGCCTCGCCGGTTTCATTATAAAGAGGAGACCTTTGCTTTGAAAGCTTTTCAGGAAGATCCAGCAGCTGTCAAAGGGGCTGAAGAGTGCTGATTTTTGTGAATGTGGAAGGGGAGACTTTCAGCCCTGTGAAGCCCTACCCATGCCTAATAAGAAAACACCGGAACAATCGAAGAAGCTAAAAATATCTTAATTATGTATGTCTCTACTTTCTGAGTGGCCCCTAGGAAGAAGTTGTCTTTGGAGAACACTGGTGAGCCCTTGTTGGCATGTGATTCCTTCAGGGGAAGACAGATGGCTGCAGAAGAGCAACCCAGTTAGAAACACCTTCGGATCACGAATTATAGGCTCAATGTTCTTTATTTATGGCTAGAAACCAAATATGAGTGAGTACATCCCATGTTCCTCTTTTTGGGTCTGGCTTACCTCACTCAGGATAGTGTTTTCTATTTCCATCCATTTGTATGCAAAATTCAAGAAGTCCTTGTTTTTTACTGCTGAGTAGTACTCTAATATGTATATATTCCATACTTTCTTCATCCATTCTTCCATTGAAGGGCATCTAGGTTGTTTCCAGAGAACTCAAGAACAATGGCAAAGGGTTTTTGATCCTACTGCATGTACTGGCTTTGGGGGAGCCTAGGCAGTTTGGATGCTCACCTTACTAGACCTGGATGGAGGTGGGTGGTCCTTGGACTTCCCACAGGTCAGGGAACCCTGATTGCTCTTCTAGCTGATGATGGAGGGGGACTTGGTTGGGGGAGGGGGAGGAAAATGGGAGGCGGTGGCGGGGAGGAGGCAGAAATCTTTAATAAATAAATTTAAAAAAATAAAAAAAAGAAACACCTTCGGATTTTTAATACCAACTCAGATCCTTAATAAAGAAGAACTCCCCGTGTCCCTGAAAGGAGGACTGATCTAAAAGAGTATCTACAATCAAAATTAAAGGACAAGAATGAGATACAAAAATGGAGAGACACTGATTATGAAAATATACAGCGAATCAGGAATGGCACTTGGAGATCATTAAAGAAGGAGAACGGATTTTTATTTCATCAGTAGAATTTTAGGTTTGGTTTAAAAAAAGAAGTTCTTAACCCAGAAATATTAAATAAGAAACCTATAAATGTAGGTTGCCAAAGGAAACCAAAAAGTATCTTTAAAAGCACAGAAAGATCCACTATGTGCAGAAATGAGAAGATACAAGAAAACTAAGAAACTCATTTATTTACTGATTTCATTCGTTATCAATCCAGTTCACACCTTTTGGATGGGAGCAATGTGCCAGGTGCTATGGCAAATAATCACCATCTGAATGTAAACTACAACAGACAAATTGCAAGCAAACCAAGTATTTAAAGGGAGCTTAACCCAAGTTTGGATCTAAGTTCAAGGAAGGAACTGTAGAAAAGCAACAATTTAAAGAGAAGAACAAGAATTAACTAGGTAAAGAGTGGTGATGGCTTTTGATCAAAGAACTTTGAAGAAAAAAATGAAACATTGCCATGGAAAGGGAACTACAACTAAAGGGCCATGAGTAGTGGGTGATCAAGAGCTTCCCAGAAGGAAAAAAAATATATAGGCTAGGCTATGCCTGTGTATGCTGGGAGTATATGGGCTTTGGTGTGTTTCAGAGATTAAATAAAGGTGATCAAATATGAACAAGGAAAATAAAGGAAAGGAGGGTACCCGATGCAGCTAAAGAGGCAGGAAAATGTTACTCTGTCCAGTTCATACAGAGCATGTTTGATGAGTTTTCTCTCCATTCTAAGAATAATGCAACATCACTAACATTTTAAGCATGGTAGCTCTGACTGTGATGTCGAGAAAAGGCTAAAAATTTCAGAAATCCATGGAGAGTATGCATGCTTTATTGCCTATGCATTGTGTCCTATCCTTAATCCACTAATTTCCTTCTTATACATAACTACATGAGGTGAGTTCAGAGGCTTGCTGAAAACCAGGACAGCTGTCCTACACTGTTCTTGGTTAACAAAGCACCAAAGACACTTTAATAAGCTTTTGGGCAAGGACCAAAGGCACACATCTTGGATTTATGTTTATATTTCTCAGTGAAGATGAAATTTTACTTTCTCCAGTTTTAAAGCCTTTTCAATAATCTTTCATTTATTTCTCTTTTCCTTCCATTTGGCAAACAGAGAAGCTGAAGATAGTGTAAATGACAACTTCTCATTCAAGGTGAGGCCAACAGTGCTATCTATAAATGCTTAGGTGACTCTGTTATATAGACCAGAATAATAACATTTAACTGAATCATTTTACAGAGTATGAAGACAATGAAACTGCTTGTAAACATTAAAGGTGACCTTAAAACTCTGTCATTAGACTTAGCCAGGTGTTTAAGGAAAATAAAAAGAGACAGTAACATTTATAATTTAAGGATTTAGGTACTCATATAATACTATCACTATTTTTTAACTTAAGTAAAACTTATCCAATAGATTGATAGATGATTAATAATTTATAGATGATTGATATAGATGATAGAAAAGGTATATTATTTATAGATAGATAGATAGATAGATAGATAGATAGATATGATTTGTAGACAGAGGAAAATGGTAGATAATAAATGATACATAGATAGAAATAGATGACAGGTAATAGCTAGATGATAAATGATAGCTAAATAGATATAAATGATGTGTGATGGGTGATAGCTAGATGACAAGCAGAAAATAGATGTCTATATAGCTATAAACCACAACAAATGGCCCTGGGTGAAATGTACCAGTATAGCATATCTAAAATTCCTTGAGAATGAGAAATCCTATGTATAGCCATGTAGCTAGCCCTTGAGTTCAGATCAGGGAGCAATGCATTCAAACAACACAATAGCTTATGTTCTTTCTCTATATGCATAGGTGTTGCAGGGAGGAGTGACTTTGATGCTCCATACCCATTGTATAAGTTTGGCACAATTAATTTAAAGATCAGTATTTGAACCTATGCTAAAAGATAGTTCTGGTAAATTGATGAAGTGTTTATCTACCTTGCTATAATAGAAATAATAAGAGGTGTGAATCATAGTGACCAAACCAATCTGAGAGTACATTTATTTCATTCCCAAACACATTTAGTTGAACTAAGATTCTACTATTACAGAGAAACTAGAATGGCCAACGTGGGAGAAGAGGCAGCCAATGGAGCACATGGGACTCCTAAATACAGTCAGGGCTTGTGAAGGTAGCAAAAGACTATAGGACACTTCTTTAATTAACTTAAGGAGATGAGGAAAAATCTTACCCTACATCATGTTTTATGACTTAACAAAATCAATTTGATAGATAGATAGATATAAAGAGATAGATAGATAGATAGATAGATAGATAGATAGATAGATAGACGAGAAATAAACAGTGGTGTCTAAGGATGCACTGAGACAGCAGAGGTCATGGGTAGCCTGACGCCATCTGTTTCACATCTTTAGACTATCTTGAAATGACTCTCTCAAATGCATCGCCAGGAAATAGCCTCCTCTGCCTCCCACACAAAGCCAGAGGTGTTTCATAAACCACAAAAAGGGAGCCAGCGAAAAAGCTTCTGTACATAGCCTTTCTCCAAGTCAGTGTGCCTGCTTTTATTGTATGTCACACACGGGGTGTGCCTGACACTCCACTGTAAACCGTATCTATTCTCCGACTGCAGAGGCAGAGCTGCGAGCTGCAGG